GCGGTCAGGTAGTCACCTGGTTTCAAGAACACCCAAGATGTATATTGACCTTGAGATGAAACGAAAAACCAAATCGACTATAAAACTATCATTAAAAGATTCAGAAATGCAGTTTTACACTGCAAAATATACCCAAGTGCCGACTGAGGGAGTGACCGCCTTCCAGTGATATATAAATTTAGACTGAAATTGAAGAGGGACAAGGCAGCACCAAAATTGCAATACGATATACTCCTGAATGATCAAAACGTGAGGGAGAAATAGATGGAAATTGTTAAAAGCAGGCATAATAGCTAAAATGAGGATGGAAATTCGCCATATGATATGGTGCTGGGTGTATTTTTCTTGCTAACTATATTCATGATTGTCTTGGTGGCTGCTTAAGATCTTTACCACCACCTCTAAGACAATCAAAGGTATAATTAGCGAGAAAAATAGATCCAGCATCACATCAGATGCCAGGATTTATTATATAAAATGCCTTCATTGTCAGAAAACATCTAGAAATCTAAATGCTTGCATCTAGGAACATTAGAGGCCTACGTTGGGACAAGCCTTTGAACTCGCTCGTAACACACAGAAACAAAACAGGTCATAATTTCGACTTAATAAATGTTACCCCAATTAGAAAAGAACCTAATTTATTACGTAGAATATACTTTAAAAAGATACTTTATTATATCATGAACTTTAATGAAATCCATACTTAAAGTGTCTAAGATCTATCTGCCTACAACCGCAACCAGTATAACCTAAATTCTTTTACTCTCACACAGAACATCCCGCAATCAACAATCAAATACTATCAGACATAAATAAAAATGTCTATTAGACGCTGAAACGCATACGCACCTACACACATTTTCAACCAACTAGAATAGTGATGCACAAATACCCAAAATTATACACACAACGCTGCTTGACAAGACAGGTACACGTGAGTTCTGCTTAGCCAATGAAAACAAACAAGACAAACATAAAAACTACCAGAATCTTCTTTTGTCTTTCATAGTTGTTTTTCTGATGAAATTTAAGTAAAAAAAAGCGAAACATGTTTAATTTAAAAACGTTTCCTATTTGTTCCTCATCCTATCATTTTGTTTTTTTTTGTTTTGTTTTTTTGACATCATTGGATTTTTTATAACACTTTCCTATAATTGTTCTGTTATATAAAAATTCCCATATCATATATATATATATATATATATATATATATATATATATATATATATATAGCTTTCTACGTACTAGGTTTATGATTTAGACTGGTTCCAGTTCTTCAGAGTCATATAAAAGTGAAAAAACTGAACGCCTATTTTGAAATCAAAAAGATTCTACTTAGTTGGAAGGTGGGCGCAAACAATCTTCCTATGTTGCATTATTTAGCGTAGTGCTCTACTAATTTCAGATTAGTAAATAACTATAAAAGCATATAACTTAAATATCTTCCCAAATGCCTGCATGAACGGCTCTTCTCTGCAAACACTTTCTTTACTTTACATTCCACTCGCTCCCGACCCTGCCATTATTACATATTGGTCCTTTTTTTTTTCCATTTGCTTTTATCGGTGGCTGTGAACACCTTCCAAAGGGAGTGACCCCTATACTTAATAAAGATTATTATTATTATTATTATTATTGCTGATTTTCCATTATTATTTTCTTAACTATTATTCAGCACATCTACATCCACCAACATTGCCAATTCGCTTTAGCTGTCGGTCAAGTCTTGTAACTTGCGCGATAAAACCTACTCACTCAGGAGCTAATACAACCGCCAGCGCGAATATTTTTGTGTCCGCTTTTCCTTTCTATCCGAGTGAACGATCATGCTCTGATATATATGGAACATCATCTCTCCATAAATGTCCTGTGATGGATTGTAATTACTGGCAAGGGGTCGGACAGTTCTCTTGCCGGCATCGGCTGGAGGTGGTCGAGTTAGGGCTCCATACAATTTATCATGGCAGATATCAACATTATTTTTAAGTGTTACCCAGGCCCCAAACAACACCATCGAATTTATTTCTCCTCCGCCGCTGCTATTTCACTCTCTTTCTCCGTCTGCCTGTCAGTCCGTCTATCTGTTTCATCCACTTTCAACCGCTCACAGCTTCCGCGCGGCGAAGAGATGAAAATAAAGTTTTACACTAGCACCTCCTCCTCCCACCTATTTTTCACTTAACTTGCTTCTTCTTTTAGGTCCCATATAATTTCAAGATGTGATTGATCATGTCCCTCCACTACTTCTAGTCTTTTATTGTTTTGGCACTATATTATTCTCCTTTGTCCATCCATTCACGCATACTCGTTAAGTAAATTACTCGCCGTTTCTCTGCGACTCGATTTCTTTCAATACTCCCTGTAGGTGTTCAATTCACCACGCCATCTTTCCTTATCATATGTTGCAGAAATGTCATTTTCTGATTGTAAGTATCCATTTGTTTATGTTTTCGCTAGAATTTCTACGTTGATCATATGTTCACAGAGCAGAGTCTAAATTTTCACATATATATATAAGGGTGTTTCATTAAGACGGATCAAAGTCAGCAGTAAATAAATCAATGTTATTGGTGAAAATTTAATTTATTTCTCTATTGAATCATGTTATTTAAGTCATGGCAATTATGTGTGAAAAATAACATCACCCAAATGTCCGCCAAGGCTTCGGCGGCACACCTCCACCTCCAAATGTCGCTGCATAGTTGCTCCTCGATCTCACCAATATGCCTTATTATCTCATCCTTCAGCTGTTGAATTGTTGTTGGCTTGTTGGCATAGACCTTGCTTTTGAGATGAACCCAAAGGAAGAAATCTAAAGGCGTCAAGTCGCACGATCCTAGTGGCCAATTGACTTCACTGTTTTCGAGAGATGATACGACCTTGGGAACTTCTCATTGCATTTCTGTTTGAACGTCCATTTTCGTAATAGACTTCGATAACTTTAACACATTGTTTGATTGTTAATCTTTCCATGGTTGAAATTGCCAAAGACTTGTTAAATCTGAAAGAAAAAGAAAAAAAAAATTAGACGCTTAAACTTAATTCACATTTAAAATCGGTACAAGTTATTGAAACACTCTTTATATATGATCCATCGCTAAAGATGTTGGTAAAAATGATGGTGCCTTATACTGGTCCAGAAAGTACCTCTTTCCTCCGCAATTTTGGGTCGTTATGACACTTTACAATATGTGACTTGGCCCGATCTTTTTTAACCTGTCGTGTAATGAAATACGTCTTGAACGGCCACTCTTCTAGATCCTTTCACATTAATGCAGGTGTTTCCGATATCTCTATCCATGAATCTACTTTGTTTCTTATCTTCATCAATGACCTTCCCGATATCATCAATTCCCAATTAGGTACTTATGCTGATGATACAACTATTTACACCTGTCTTAACATTATGTCTGATAGGTCCGGCAAAGTATAACTGGCAGCTGTTCTCAAAAATGACTTCCAATCAGATGTTAAGTGGGGCAAGAAACGGCTTGTAAATTTCAAATCCAAAACGACACTATTATATTTTAGCAATCACAGAGAACTATTTTTGCCTTCCATCAGTATCGCTGATCCTAACCTACAGATCATCTCTTTGCGTTTAATTTGGCACACCTTTTCAGAAATATGCAGTAAAATAATGATATAAAATCAATTGCTTTACTACTAGAAAAGTTGGTTACCTGTGTTGTGCCAGATGTTTTCTCGTTGGAATCCTTCTTGATAGTTTATAAATCTACCATTTTTCTGTGCTTTGAATATTGATGACATATTTTGGTTTGGTGTTTCTTCTCTATATATCAAATTCCTCGACAAAATCCTTAGAATGGTATAATGTTATTGGTCCTGAGATGGTATCTCGACAAGTACTTCCCCACCGGCGTAACCTGGCTTCCCCACCGCCATGACGTGTCTTTTTTATATTCATCTCGATTGGGTGAATTAAAACGCACTACTAGATTGGCAACTAGGTTCCACTGTTTTATTGTTGAAAGAACTATATATAACAGTGTTGTGTTGCAGCTCAGACCAGCCACCAGGTTCCTTGACAAGGTGTAGTTTCTTTCAGTCAAACACTTGTGGCTTAAAAATTATTCTTCGGCCAGATTGCTACCCCTGAGTGAAGAACAAGACAATTTTCTAACAGTAAACCAAATTTCATTCTTAAATAGTACTTTACTACTCTAACCGAGTGAAGGCAGGTTGAAGCGTAAAAGAGAACGGAAGTGTGCACTTCAGCAGCCGACGTCTGTGCTTCTGCTTGGCCCGCGTCGTTCCTTCTGTCCTCCTTGCGCGGAATGGTCATTTTATAGACAACAGTTTTCTTTGTTCTGTGATCTTCGTCCAAAAATCAATTAATCTTCTTTCCGTCACTTTCTCTCAGTTTTTGAAGTTGGCACCGTTTACTGATAACCGTCTGGCGAAAGTAAATATTCCATATCGAGTTGTCTTAACTTTAACTCATACTTCTACAAGGGTAAGTTCTATTCTAATAGTTGCTTCTCTCGCAATTTTCACCTATGGAATCCTCTTCGGGTTTCTTGCCTCCATACCCCCTATGTCAATTGTCACCGTCTGTCTTCCTAAAAACTGTTCTTTTATATATTTATATATATATATATATACAAACATATCCACGTGCGTGCGAACACATACGGCCATTAAAAGCTGGTAAAACTTTCTCGTCATGGCAAGAATAAGAATAAAAATGTTAGAACTCAGTTGGTCTATTCTACCACACCTTGGGCTTTTTCGATCATTGTAAAACGTTTTACTGGGGAAACTTTCTCTAATTAAAACCAGATTCAAGCAAGTGTTCGTTGAATACTTTTTCGTGTCAAAATCGGCGGTATTTTACTCAAAAGTTATCAAATAAGGAGTAAAATATCATTGCAAATAATGGAGAATATATAATCGAATAAAATGTAATTGTACTTTGCTTTTTTTTTTAAATAATAAAATTGATATACAAAAACGGAAATTATTTATTACTGAACCTAATAGCTAACGAGATAGATAGATAGATAGATAGATAGATAGATAGATAGATAGATAGATAGATAGATAGATAGATAGATAGATAAACAACGACAACAGCATAGATAGATAGCTATAAAGACAAAGATAATGGCATAGATAGATAGATAGATAGATAGATAGATAGATAGATAGATAGATAGATAGATCTAACATAGTAATTTAAAAAATTGTTGCAATTGTTTATATATGGCCCCGTACTTCTGGCTCTGATAAAATATCTCTAAACTTTAACAAGGATCAGGATTGCGTCACATCACTTATATGATCACTGTAATATCTGCGTGGTCAATGTTAGATATGGACATCATATATATATATATATATATATATATATATATATATATATATATATATATATATATATATATATATATATTTGTGTGTGTGTGTGTGTGTACTGGAATTTTTTATGTGTATTTTTGTTCATATCTATGTGTATATACGCATGCATGTACGAGTTTGTGAGTACATGTCTTCTTTCCTTTTGCGTAAATTATTGGCACAAAAAACAGGAAACTATTGGTCTATCAATAGTATTTACATTTAAGTCATCGATTTGTCGATGATTTGCTATCTGTTATGCCTGCTGTCTGCCAGTATCCAATTAACCAATCATACAACAGCAGACGTCCTCTTATCTACTGAACTATCTAAAAACTCTCGACATCCATTTTTGGCTACAAACACAGAAACATTGAACACATAACATATTTGTGGATGTGCTCAAACTCAACACGTATAATTCCAACTATGGTCTCAATATTTCTGTCATACTATTTTAGATAACAAGAGATGGAGAAAGGATGAATTTCGTTAAAGTAAATTATTATGTCAGTTATCATAAGATCTATATCGTATGAGTCTATGGGGATTCTGGGTATGTGATTTTTTATTATTATTTTTTTAATGAAAGGGTAAAAAATGACTAAACAAACAATTTATGACAACTTTGAGATTTATAGTTTGAAAGTATAGCATACATCCTTAAAATAGATGTAGGACATCTAATTCACTGAAATAGATGCAACATATATATATATATATATATATATATATATATATATATATATATATATATATATATATATATATTTTTTTATGAAGATGGCTGGAAAAATGTGTTTCGTTGGAAATTACGTGGTAAAAATTTAGAAAACATTTGCCTTTGATGAGTCTTTCGACTCGAACATCTTGAGTCGTTCAATCAGATAAGTCATTTGAACGTTTCTTAATTTATTGAATATTACTTATTAATATTGAGCGCTTATTTCGCAGAAGTTCAGCCAGCCTGAAGCATACGTTGCATTTTGTAATTTTCATTGTATATTTCAGCTGTATTATTATTACTAGTATTACTATATATATATATATATATATATATATATATATATATATATATATATATATGATAACTTATAGAAAAAGTAAGAAACGAAACATCATGCGTTCGGATTCCGATCCATATTAGATCTATATTTGATACTTAGCCCGTAAAAAATATATAATTGTTTTTGTGCGTGTGTCTCTCTGTGTGTGTGCGTGCGTGCGTGTGCATGTATGTATGTATGTATGTATGTATGTATTTAAATTAAGTATAACAGAGAGTGTTCATACGTGTTTAAAATAATTATAACAAACCGCGTTTCTTTCGTATTTTTTTTAAATCACGACTATCAATGACATTAATGTTTTTCTCTTAACAGTTTATCTCTGAGAGATAATCTTGGATAAGATTGAAAGTAATTTTGAAAATAAATGAAATGCAAAAACTACGGCGCCTTCCTTAATGAATTTAATATCAACATTAAGAAGTCGATTAGAGAATTCTAGAGTATTAAAATAAAATAAATTGATATAATATGTCCAGATTATATAAGCAAACATGCTTAAATGAAGATATGCAGCCTAAATATAAATATTTTAAATTACATGATCCATCAGTTCATCATAATACCAACACTTGTAAATTTAAACATAATTCTGTGAAGAGGCAAAGTGAAATAGCAAAAGACAACATTAAAAACATTTAGGAAAATAGCACAAAAACGACTAAAACTCTCAACCACTCCTGAGCATTTAAAAAAAATCCTACGTAGACTTGCAGAAATCACTAATAAATCTGAAATTCAACACCCTCTGAACATTCAAAAAATATTGATATACTATATAAAGGATCTACACATCTCCCAAATAATAAAGACAAATTCATTAACATCTCTAACTACGAACTAGCAAAAGAAATTGCTCAACGTTGGTCCTTTACAGACTATACAATAGACTGGGTAAAAAAATGAAATTGAAATGTTATATCAAAACATACAAAAACTTAAAGAACAACAACTAACAAAATCAAAACCAGAAATTCGTGATTTGCTCAAAGCCGAAACAATAAAAGACAGACATCATAAAAGAAACAAAAAAATCTCTTCCAAACTGCTAACAAAACAATTAAAAATCGCTGCCAAAGAGCTACGTAACCATATTCATATAATTTTAAAATAAAGGAAGATAAAACCAATATCTTTGTTGTATTAAATAAATCTGATTATAATTTAAAATTACAACAAATATTCGATAATCGCACCAAAAACAATTCTATTAACCAACTGAAATTAAAAATCAATAAACTGACAGCCAACAACGCACAAGACGCATAAAACTTCCCAAAATAATCGGAGACTAAAAAACAAGATACATGTATGGAACCATAAAAATATATAAACATAACTTTCTTCTCCGTCGGATCATATCCCAAATCCGCAATCTAGTTTATCAATTAACCAAAATCATTAACTAACTCATTACACCATATATACCTAGCAAATGCGCCGAGTGGTTAGAACGTTTGCATTCTAACCATGAGACCAGGGTTCGAATCTCACTATTTGTCAGGAAGGAGACTTCCTGATGTTATTGGACTGGACGGGTCAATCTCAGCGTTCGGGTTGACCCAAGCCTTGTGAGTGAAATTGGGTAAGATCCTTGGGTACAGTTGATAGCTGTGCTAAGCCCGAAGTCACAAGTCATCGTGGCCGAGACCTTGTTCAAATTGTTGATAACGCTAGATAACACGCTCTTTCCTATAAACTGTAATTAAGATTTGCTCAGCATAGTTGCCGTATAAATTACAAGTGGCCTCTATGGGTGTTGAATAAACGCAAATGCGCCCGGGCAAGCGTCTGCAATAGGGATTGGCTAATCGCCTTATTAGACGGGTATCCTCGAATACGAGTGGCCAGCTATACACGCATACATATCTAGCAAATACAATATTAAATCACCCCACGAACTGATCCAAATCTATTGTGAGACCGGAAACTACCTACACAATAGACTCTTCCAGGCCTATATTAAGTAGGCGACATAGCACTCTAGGGAATCACACAGAGCGACATCAGTCGCTCACTTTCTGGTGCGACTGTTCGGTTCAACTCTTCCTACGGGCGGGAGGAACCCGAAGGAGGCTACGCCGAAGGGCGGAGTCTCCTTCGGGGAGGTAAACCGGCCCAGAACCCGTTTATGCGGGTTCAAATGGGCTATTTTTGGCCGGGCCTAATGGCTCCGGGAATGCCCACGTTAAAAAGGCCTTGTGCCACATGACACCCTCGTGGGGGTGATTGAATATCGTCACACAGAGCGACATCAGTCGCTCACTTTCTGGTGCGACTGTTCGGTTCAACTCTTCCTACGGGCGGGAGGAACCCGAAGGAGGCTCCGCCGAAGGGCGGAGTCTCCTTCGGGAGGTAAACTCGGCCCTGAACCCGCTTATACGGGTTCAAATGGGCTATTTTTTGGCCGAGCCTAATGGCTTTGGAATTGCCCACGTTAAAAAGGCCTTGTGCCACATGACACCCTCGTGGGGGGGTGATTGAATATCGTCACACAGAGCGACATCAGTCGCTCACTTTCTGGTGCGACTGTTCGGTTCAACTCTTCCTACGGGCGGGAGGAACCCGAAGGAGGCTACGCTGAAGGGCGGAGTCTCCTTCGGGGAGGTAAAACCGGCCCTGAACCCGTTTATACGGGTTCAAATGGGCTATTTTTTGGCCGAGCCTAATATCGTCACACAGAGCGACACACTGAGTGACATAGAGAGTGATATAGTAAGCTCCGCTTACACTATCTCTGTAACCTGTTGTTAATATATCTTTCTTACATCTAATCCGTGTTCCGTGTTTTACTTCTGTGGTCCCAACTTTGGCCCCACATCAAAATCTTTAAAAAAAATCCGATAATGAGACCAAAACATCAATTGATGTTGAAAGTTTATTTACCAATGTCCCAGTTAGAGAAACGATTGATACAATTATAAAAAATATTTACAACAATTCATCTCTTCGCCCTTCTGATATATTACGGATACTACTTTTAACTTTTACCACCAAGGTTTCTTTCTATGACCATCGAAATAGTATCTACGTAGAACATGATGAAGTTTCCATTTCAATTCTGGGACCAACATTTAGTAATTTCTATATGACTAACCTTGAATATAAAATATTTAATACCAATGAAAATTCTCCATCTACCTGAGATATGGCGATGATATTCTTATCTTAGATGAAATACATAAACTGAAAAAAAAAACCTCTGTTCTTAAATTCACATATGAACTTAAAAATAACAATAAAATTCCTTTTCTTGATGTATTAATAGAGACGCTTATTTACTATATTTCCATATAAAAGGAAAATAACAAGCATAAACACTCACGGTGACATATTAAAAAATGTCAGAAGAAAAACATAAGGAGCATGTTTAAATGGATGACAGAACAAGAAATGGAAGGGATAGTAAAAAAAAATAAACATTGCTAGGAAGTTGTGGAGAGCTATGATAACATACCTCCTGAAAGAACACTACTCATAGACAAAGTAGAAGGTGATACTAACTTCAGAATAGTCAAGCTCAAATCACAACAACCGAACTTCTAATGAAGAAAAACTAACGACCAATGACTTGCGAACTAGATTCCTTATCCGACTAACAATATATAGATGAACACGCTCATACACAGTTACTAATGTTGCACCATTTTTCTATGCAACTCGTCTTGCATGTCAAATATGAAAATGGCGTACTCTTGTCATATTTGGGCGGGAAGGGACCAGTCCTCACTTTCAAGTCTCGACAGAGTTCAAAATCGTCTCCAAGGCCTTTTGGGTGACGAATTATTTTCCACCCTCCAACTTCTCTCTCGCAGGCGGAATGTGACAAGCTTCTCGCTACTCTATCGCTACTTCCATGGAAAGTGCTCGGACGAACTACATTCCTTGATTTAGCCAGTTCTAATCTTCACAGCTAGGACCCGCCTTGCCACTTATCTTGTAGCAAAATTACACACATTACCTCAATATTCCATCGGTGAGAAGTAAATCCCACCATAAACAGCTCCTTTCCGCGAATCACTGTTCTGTTGATCCGACTCCCAAAAGGATGCTTGCCCGATCACTACAATCTTAACGTATTCAAATCTAGAATTAACCGTTATCTTCCCCTCCTATCTGTATAAACTTACCTCTTAACGTAACCCTCTACCGCGAGAGGTTCCCCGGGCCTTGTACAAGGTGAAACTGACTGTAAAAAAATAACATTCAAAATTCTGTCTTTTACCTGCGCTTGTACCGATTACTGCAGATAGTATAAAGTGAGCTAATTCGCTTGTATACGTGTCTATAACGAATTTCTTGGGTCCACATATACAGAGGGTGCGATAGATAAATAGTGTCCATTTTATATTTTTTTTATTCGCGTATGCGCGTTGTTTGGTATTGATTCGGTCGACTGCACAGTACAGTAGGGTCAGTTGGGCACCGACTCCGTAATGCAATTTCCTCCGCCAGAAATTTGGAAACGGCATGCTATACTGCTTGGCATTCGTGCCGCAAGCTGTAATACGAATATTTCAGAGTGTTTGGGTGTCAATCTGAGTACAGTGCAAAAGATTCGGAAAGAGTTGGATGATATATTTCAATCTACATTATAATGTTTGGGGTGATCACTAGTGATGGCCAGGTTATGCCTTTATTCATCTTCCCACAGGGCCCCAGAATCAACACGGAGGCCTACATCGTGCCTTGATGAGGTATTGCTGCCCTGTGTCAAGAAGGTGGCTTTTGGGAGACCCTATGTCTAACAACAGGACTCTGAATAATAACCACACAAGCAGGAAGCCCCAATCATGACTGTCAGACAATTTATGCGGCCAGATCATCCCTTACATCTGGCCACCTAACTCCCCAGGCCACAACCCTCTTGATTATTATGCGTGGAGTGCAGTTGCGCAAGCGACCAACAAAACTCCTTGTAACATCAAAGATGAACTGAAGGCAAGGATTATGTCAGCATTCACCAACTTAAACAAGGAGACCGTCCAGAAGAGTTGCAGGAGATTCCGATGTCGTCTGGAGGCCGTGGTTGAAACCAATGGAGATTTTATTGAATAAATTTACTCTCTAGTATTTCAAGATATTTTAGTGTAATTTTGCTAAATATATCCGTTAAAATGGGATGTCAGTATTATTCCCTTTTCTTTTGCGTAATTTAGGCGAAAATTTATCCATCGCACCCTGTATATATGCATGAAAAAAAAAACTGCATGTGTATCCAGGTAATGAAGCTACGCAGCGTCTTTCGTTTGTAGGGTGTATCTTTTATATGCCTGACTGAGCCAAGTTGTGGGCGAATTTGGAATTATGAGCGTGGTATTGTGGGTGGAAGAAAGCAACCCCCATCGTCAGCCGATGGCTTATCAAGCATGCGAGATAGAGCTGTTCGTTTTATGGTCAGCTACTTAGATTTATTTAATTGCGCCTTGTCTCTTACGTCCAAGATGAATGTACAATGGGACAGGTTATAGTCGTAAAGGTTCTCTAATCTGAGGCGAAATCTTACAAAGGCTGAGACCTTAGGAATAGTTAAGGTGAGAAAGAAAGAAAGAAAGAAAGAAAGAAAGAAAGAAAGAAAGAAAACAGTATTTAAAGAAATATACGAAAAACAGTGTGGTGAAAGGCGATAGATAAAGAAATGAAATGGAATGGAAACGATTATTGTTGAAAAGGCTGAAGGAAAGAAAACAGAGTGAAAGGGAATTTAAAGAAAGAAAGAAATCAATACGGAAAGAAGAGAATGAAGAACATGGCGGGGGAGAAAAGACGGGCAAGAATTAAACAAGGAAAGAAAGAAAAGGAATGGAATGGAATCATTCAGAGAAAGAGATTGAGTAAAAAAGAAGGAAATGAAGAAACGAAAAAAAGAAAGAAAGAAAGAAATAGAGATGTGGTGAACGAACGAATGAAAAAGACATTTAAAGAATCAAAAAAAGAAATTAAATTGAGAGTAATGACAGATAGAAGGATGAAGGAAAGAAATAAAGAAGTAATAAAGGAAGGGAGGTAAGAAGAAGAAGAAGAAGAAGAAGAAGAAGAAGAAGAAGAAGAAAAGAAAATGAATGAATGAATGAATGAATCAAGATATTTTGTTTTACTAATATTTCCCAATACAAGGCCCAAGAACCAAGGTAGAAGGTTACTATGCGAACTAATATTAGTGTAGGAAAGGACAAGTATTACGTGTATAGGGCTGAAGCAGACTTTAAATGGAACCGGAAACCCAATCCTAAACAGGAAACAAGAGATAACCCTCTACTGCTATTTATAAAGACGATAGGCGAACCTATCCACTCCCCACCCGATTAAAACATCTAAATGAAATGGGCCAGATCATATACCCAAAAGGAAATGAAAAAATCAAAGCAAGAGAATAGATAAGAAATGAAGGAAGAATGAAGACAGCGATAGAGCAGGTAATAAAGGGAGGAGAAAAGAGAGAGAGATTAAAACATTACTAAATTAGACATTACCAAATCATTCTTGTAAACAGACTTTGAATGAATGAAAGAAATCCGATCTTTCTCAGATGTATATTGTATTTAGTGATTTTTCAAAGAATTTTGAGCTTTTTATCTCACTCAAAACACGTCAAAATTATGTAATGCCAAAATAACGCTAGATGGTAAGCCTAACATTCTCTTTCTCCCTTCAAGAGTTCAACGATTATGACTCTTCATACTTCCTGCTTTTACTGCTTTTAGGAAATCTTTCTCTTTCCAGATCATTCCCAGTATTTTTGCTCAAACTTGTCAAGCAGGTCTTTTGTTGCATTCCCTTGCTTTGTTTGCACTCAATGTGCCATGTGAACGTTAAATTCTCCAAGACTTCTTTTCTCCTTATGTTTCACCAAAATCTCAGTAGTATTTTTTTATTGTTAGGAAGTTCCTATTTTTCGTAAACCTGAAATTTCATTGTTTCTTACATAATATCTCTAATAGTATGTATTCTCAAGTCTATTCTTTATCTGTGAGGAAATTATCCAGCATTTATTGTCATAGAGCACTAATGACTACAACGAAATAAACAACAATGGGAAAGCTACGGAAATATTGCTATAAGTGTTAGACATTTTCATGACGGTCGTCCTCGAGTATAGAATCCAGAGGTTGGCAGTGAATATTTCGGAGACAGTAGGAAAGCGTAGTGCAGGTTCGCAGTGGATATCGCAGCAAGGTAGCAGAGCGTAGTTCTTCCGTCTGTCCTGTTCGCCGGACAAGTTGCCTCTGGTCAGGTTGGTAGGAAAACAAAGATGGCCACCTTTATACACGACGGATACAGTGTTGTGCGGCTTCTGATTGGTCAACCTTATATTGGTAGACTATAAAGGGAAATAAGTCATTTTGACTCGCTCACTAGTTATATACAGTATATACCCAAAAAACGGTAACAATAAGAAGCAACAAATATAGATTTTTTTTTTAAATTGGTTATAATCCGTTACGATTTTATCCAGTATCGTTTCATCTACAGGGGACGTTGTATATGCACAAACTGTTTACCTTCACCATGTTCTCAAGTAATCTCCTCAGACTGAGACCTGCATATGGATGGCATGCATAGCTCCAAAATAAATATCTAAGCTGTCGGCTGTATACAATCATTCCCAAATCAATGGTTAAAATGGCTTCGAGCGAGTGAATCGTGTAGGTCTCAGAGAGAAACTTTCTTCATTGGCGCTACGGAATCATAAACAAAGAACTGTACCAAATAACAGAAACCATAGCATTTGAAGACTTTCCACAGAAGCAAGAACTAAAATGAATAGCATATGTAACTCGAAAAAAAAAATAAGGACATAATCAAGATGCTGAAGTTCCACATTAGTTCCAAGAAATGGCAAGGAAGGAAACCACCATCAACACTGGAAAGAGCTATAAGAGTTAAAGGAAATTTATTTTCCTGAAAAATTGTCTTAATAGAAAGATTTTATAAATAACAACCGGCAGCAACAGTGATTACTCGGTGAATGAACGCTGAATGTTTCTACATAATCCCTAAAATTTTACAATTTTAATTGCTCTAATTTCACTTTTGTAACCCAACAAACATTCAAATGTTGCGAATAAATACTTGTTAGACGAAATAACAAAGATGCAAATAATAGATATATATATATATATATATATATATATATATATATATATATATATATATATCGTACAATCGTAATTAAGATATCATTATGTAAATGATCATTTTCACCCTGTAAAATTAAATTTACAGGATTTTTCAGTCAATGGCTGATAAAAATTCTGTAAAGTTAACTTTACAAATCCTGTAAATTTAATTTTACAAGGTGAAAATCATTTGCACAATGGTATCTCAATTCCGATTGTATGGAATATATTGCTCTGTTTATTATAAAAACATTGAGCTCTATGTATGAATCATTTTTAATATTTGATATTTAATATTACATATTGTGTTAATCGAATTCACTTGGATTCTATACTAACGGATTACTACCTGTACACACACACACACACACACACACACACACACACACACACACATATATATATATATATATATATATATATATATTATTATTATTATTATTATTATATGTTAATTTCACAAAAAAGCTACGTAGCTACATACAAAACAATCTTTGAAAACGAAGGGAGCAATATTCGAAAGTGCCAAGGAAAAAATATAAAATAAAAGATAATATGCATTTTCGTAAAATTGCCTATAAAACAAAACTTATTCGAAATTTGAAAAATTTAACTTAAAAAACTGAAAGACAGACCGTATCCATATTATTTAGCAAAACATGCCCGAGAGAATTCTTTCTGTCGAAATACACCTTATATAAATATAAAACAATATTTGAAAAATTATTCATATTTCTAGAGTCAATCCTTTTCTTTTTTATCTACAGTCCTTTTGTAAATCGCAGTTCTTAGCTTTATCTCTTGATTATTAAAACAGCGTTAATTTCCGAAAACAATTCATTTTCCTTTATCGCTATGAATAGCAACAATGTCTTCAGTGTGTTCAGTTCTCTATTAAATATTTGAATCTTTATAGCCACCTGCAGTACATTGGCAGGGACGATTGATACTGAGAAACGCTGGAACTTTCATGGTTCAACGTGAAGTTGGGCAGCCATGAAGATTATTTGGCGACTATGTTTGACAGCTTGAGGTCATGTACGGACATCTCAACTACAACGAAGACAAACTCATCGGGCAGTGAACCAATTTACGCACCGATACTGGCAATATTAACGGCTTAACAACGGTTAAGTTTTAGATAAAATGGAAATAAAAACGATACTACATTGAAAAAAAGTACAAATCTGTTACGTAACATCTATCCTCCTGTATGGCAATGAGTACTGGAAAAGATGAAGGAAAGACATGAAGCAACAGAAATGTGGTACTACAAAAGGATGCTGAGGATACCATGGACCAAACATGTAAGCAATGACGAAGTTTTAGAGAAAATGGAAATAAAAAGGACACATAACATCATAAAGAGACATTTGAAATTTCTCGGGCACGTAATGAGGAAAGTGGGCTTGGAAAATGTAATACTCACGAGACTGATTGAAGACAAGAGGAGTAGAGGAAAACAACGCATAGAGCTTGTGTAAATGGATGGGGGAACTGGGTTTAAGAGAGATAACAAAAAGACACAATTTATTAAGAGCTATAAAGAACAGGAAATTGTGGAGAGCCTTGATCGCCAACGTCCTGCAGAAAAACATAGCCGACACTATCAGATTGACATTTGCGATATGGTCGTTGCAGGCAATACCCCCTATAAGCGACATGCCCCTATACAAATGAGAAGTTGTTTTATGCCGTCCGAGAATTTGCCATCTCCTTAGTCCAGGCAACCGGAAATACAAGCCACATCAAAAAGAGCCAGTTGAAGTTTATAGGGCACATAATGAGGAAAGAGGGCTTGTAAAATTTGATACTCACAAGACAGATTGAAGGCAAGAGAGACAGATGAAAACAACGCCTTATCTACCTAGCGGACCGGATATAAAAGTGAAATCTTTCCTAGTGCCTATTCTATATATTTTATGATGCTCTAATAAAAGTCTTTTTTTTTCTAAAAAGCAATTTTAGCTGAAATATAAAATACTTTACATAATTATGTACTGTTGCTGTGTTTTTACTTTTTTAAAGGATAGATTTTATTATGAATACATGAAGTATTTCTTTATTTCTTTCGTTCCGTGATGTGTCGCTAGATGTCACTGACTTTCAAACTTAAATTAGAATACGGCTGGCAGCCATGTTCAACAATACTAAAGCCAGAAATAAAACTAATTTCAAACTAAATCAAAAGTTTTCCTGTCTTGGAATTGAAATGTTAGAATACAGTGATGTGTATTTCACTTAGCAATGAAAGCAATCCCAATCAAATAAAATTTCGTTAATGTTGAGTTTTCTCTACACGCCGCACACCATGTACCGAGAATGGACTGGCTAATCAATTTGATATATCGCTTACAATACGAAGGAATGACTGACTGGCTGGTCAAACAGGTGGCGAGACACTGCTTCTGGACACGACATTAGTAATGCATGGCATAATGACTTTAACTAGACCGCAGAGGTTTTGGAAAGGGTGGTAACCCCAAGAGAAAGTCTCAAACGGTGGCGAAGCAGAACTGCGGACAATTCCTGGGAATTTTTCATTCGGTCTGATTGGAAGTTTGCCGATTACTGTTTGCGAAAAGATTGCCAGAAAATCAAGAAGATGAATTTGAACGAAGAAAACTAACACTGCACTCTTGAAATCTTGAATTATTATTTAAGAAGTATGCATTGATTGTTCTTGGGTGTGGCTTTTTGCCTTGAGCCATTTAATCGTTATCTTGGCGGGGGCGGGGGGGAAGGGCATCACCAAAATAATAACATAAAATTTCACAAAGTCCGATTAATGAAACAAGCACATAACAATCATAGCGAAAAATATTTTACACATACCGCTCTTTTTGACATGCATATAGACACATACACACACGCACACATGCATAAGTATACACACACACACACACACACACACATAGAGAAAAAATGAAACAAAATCGACATAACACCAATAATAATAGCATCGAAACCAGCGCATAAGTTATCAAACCTAGTATAAAGTTATTGAAAAATGAGAATAGCAACAGTCCTGAAGAGTGGACTGAACAATTACAACAATTTATCTACTCTACAGGTGAGGTTGTCAATATAACATACAAATTTTAGTCATATTGTCTGCATCTATCTATCTATCTATCTATCTATCTATCTATCTATCTATCTATCTATCTTCTCTCTCTCTATCTCTCTCTCTACACATATATATATATATATATATATATATATATATATATATATATATATAAAGATCAAAAAATTATCTTCCCGAATTCAAGTATAGCTGACAAAAGAATAATATTACGCTTGCCTTAATGGTGTTATCCTCCAGAAATTCACTAGTCGATCTTTATCGCGAAACCCAATCTTTGGTAACTATATATATATATATATATATATATATATATATATATATATATATATATATATATATATAGTGTTTATACGTTATTTTTAGAGATACAAATATTTAAGTAATGCTTTGTTCATAATAATATATCTTCGAGCAGATATGAGCGTTCGAAGAAATCATGGGAAATTTGTAGTTTAAAAGCAGTAATTCGACAATGCTAACAGACGCTTGCTCTGTAGCTAAATGGTATAGCACGTCAGGCTATATGACGTTTCCGTGTAGGATACAGTTTCGATTGCTGTCGGAATTCTATGAAATATTCTATGAAATTTCTCGGACATTCAGTTGTTGTTAATACTGTTTATTATAAACAGAGGATTTACTTAAATATTTGTATCTATAAAAATAACGTATAAACAATAAATATATTAGAATAATTGTTGGAGTTATCCCATTTCATTATATATATATATATATATATATATATATATATATGTGTGTGTGTGTGTGTGTGTGTGTGTGTGTGTGTGTGTGTGTGTGTGTTGTGTGGAGGGAGAAAGTCGGAAAAAGTTACAAGCATTTTTTAGTGAAATTCACAGACAATATTTGGATATTTGTATATATATTTATTCGACCACACACTATGCACTAACTTTCGTCATCTTTGTGGCAGTATCAGGATTCTATCCTCCCAGAATTTGATATCTTACTGAGTTATAAACTGGTCTAAGAGGTTTTTACATGTCTCCAGAGAAGTGAAGTGCTTCCCGTTAAGACAACTGTCTCATAGATCTAAGTGGTAATCCAAGATGCAAAGTTTGCTGAGTACACAAGTGCTTTATGACATCCGACCGAAGCTGTATATAGAGATATCGATTTCTGTTTTTAGTCGGCCCAACTAGGAACAGTACTTGTTTGAATTTAACGTTTGAATATTTTATTAAACATTCCACCCCAAGCAAGGCGGGAAGCCACTAGCACGAAAGGGGTACAGAGAGTTGGAGCCAGAGCATAGAGGAGTGATAGAGGAAAGGATGAAGAGAAGGTTAGGGTCTGGAGACGTCAATTGACATTACATTTGAATAGTTGGTGATTGTGGCTATCAGGGAAACAAGAAATGGGGAGGGAGTTCTCCAGAAAAGAAGTGAGAGAATGAAACTAATGGAGTAGAAGAGACGGCTACTTTTAACAGTTTCAACAGTGAAAGAGTGAGAGCGAGATGCCAGCTTAGTTCAATGCTTAAATTCATGAAGTCTGGGAACCAGCGAAAGAAAATCGTCGGAGCATTTACCGTGAAAGTATTTGTAAAAAAGACAGAGGGAGACAACGGCACGTCTGTGAGAGAGCGACTGCAGACGATATACCAGATCAGGGCCAGTTACATTGCAGATCCATCTTTGGATTTTATCAAGGACCTTGAGACAAACAGAAGGGGCTCCAGATCATATATGGCAGCAATACTCTATGCAAGGGTGAATGGTTGATTTGTAAATTTGAAGGATTGACTCTGGCGAGAAAAAATTCCTGGCGCGGCACAGGGAGCCAACTTTCCTTGCGGTGGACGAGGCTATTGACTCAATGCATTCGTTCCATCTCAGGTCAGCAGACAATGTGAGACCGAGCAGTCGCAAAGAGGTGCTCTCGCGTTAGACATTCTAATGGGAGGCAGGGATGGTTCTCTCTGGTGAGTAATAGAGAGCAGTTTTGTTTTTGAGGCATTAAAGTTAACCAGCCAATTCCTACCCCAGTCCACAACCGATTGGATGTCATTTTCGAGAAAAATGGCCAGGTTAGTTTTGTCGGCGCCACTAGATTTGTTTTTGAGGCAGGAGTAAATAGTAGTGTCGTCCGCATAGATGCCTACTTGGATACGGACGGAATTCCTGATACACAATGTCTTCCCGTTACTAGAAAGACAACATGATTTTCTTAAAATGCAGATTGGCTTTTCAATTAATGGTAACCAACTTCGCTTTCCTCGTGAACTTTTCGTTTCACATTGTTGTAAACAACCCAGTGTTCATTGCCCGTGACCGTTCTTATCAAAAGTGAGTCGTTTTTGCTGTTTGAATCTCATATGGAAATTTGGTCTATTAAAGGTTTTAACCATTAAATCGTCAGGTCGTAGCGATTCACGCATCCAGGTGCCTTCAAATAACTTACAACTTTATATGAGATAAGAAGAGTACCTCAGCGATGTCCCGTGTCGTGTGACCTGAACTCTTTTTAATCAGGATTTCGATTTGGTCATCATCAACGAATGCAAGGTTGCAGGAACGATCTCGGTCTTTAAGATGGTAATTTTTACATCTGAACATAGGGAGCCACTTACAAAAATTACTCTGGGCATCATGCCAATAAATGACACATAACGTTTTTTGTTTTCTTACCTTTCTGGAAATTAAAGCGCATCAATGTATCTCATTTCTATACACAAGTAACATAAATGGATTTAAAATAATCATCTCTCTAATATTTCATTTACAAGACAGGGATACTTTTGAATTAGTTCAAGTATCACGAGACATTGCTTGTAGTCATCTTCTAAGTCAAGTCTATGGAATAAAAGAAAAAAAAACTCTGTTTTATTCTTAATAAAATCTACACAATTCACACACGAATCATATAGAAAGAAGCTCTGAGATATACTTGAACTTTTGATACATGTTGTAAATTCAAAATCACGTGTGAAACGAAATCACGATTTCAAACGACAGATATTTAAAAAAGCTCTGGAATTTTGTTCCAACGTAATACAATTCTTTGTAACTTTTAAACGGTGGCAAACATGCTATTTTTAAAGACAATGCTAAAGAGTTCCATCCTTATTGGTTGCCCGACTGCTGTATATAGATACAGTAAACTTTGTAAATATTTACGCCTGAGATAACTGAAATCTTTTCATCATTTCTACGTTTTCAAGCTCTCCATCGCAACAGAAATAAGGATTCTGAATGCTGGTTATTCACGGTTTCCTGATTTGGTATATTAGTACAATAAATCTTCCTTTCTGTTTATTCATGCCATTTAGCTTTATACAGCACAAAGCTAAGCTTACTAAATATTCACGAAATATTCAAAATTTGAGCGAGATTAAGGATCGCAACCTCAGTTTTCTGTCAAATGAAATGGAATTCACTAACGAGGTTTAAATGTTGAAAAGGGTTTTCGCGTACATAATTAACATTTGATGGTTAATTATGTGCTTCACGGCTTAAGGAATCGAACAAATATGTCATCCTATGTATTGAAATGATCAACTTTTATTTTTTTTTTTTTTCACACAAAATTAAATCATAGAAACTAACTTTTATATTGAACCGATTTTGCCATCAAATCCCATCTGCTTTTTCCTTCAAAATCTGAAATTACTCCTGTTTGCTGTTGTCTTTAAAAATCTGAAATTTCTCCTCTCTGATTTTGCTTTAAAATCTACAATTACTTTTGTCTGATAACTGAATTAATTGTTCTTTTCTTAATGGAAACAGTTGTCGGCATTCAAGTCCCCAAATCTAGGTCATCAAATGCTAATTTTAAGATAGTACTCGCTTATAAATTTGACGCTAAATAATCTCTGTTTGATGCCCTGTGACAGACTAAGCAAAACTCTTTCATATGGATGCCATGTATGGCGCCAAACTCGTTCAAAAATATCTAAACTGTTAGCTGTATACTTCTTAGATCACTCATTAAAAATGACTTTGAGCGTGTCGGTTTTGGTGAGGACCATCTTCGAACCTAATCGATTGGTGCTACAGAATCACAAGAAAGAACTGTATCAAATAGAAGAAACCACATCACTTGAGGACTTTCAACAGCGGCAACAACTAAAATGAAATATCACATGTACATCAAAGAGAAAACAATTACATAATCAAGATGATGATGATGACGTTCAAACTACTTCAAACAAGAATTTGAGAAAGCAGGAAAGCAAGGAAAAGAAACCTATTCTCCTGAGCAGTTTCTTTAAGAAAAAGATTTAAATTTCAACCAACAGTGGCACTGGCTGCTCGGCAAATAAATGCAGAATGTTTCCTTATAAGGAAACGGCTAATGTTACTATTACTATTGTAGTGACATAACAGTATTATGTATACACCCTTCATATGTGCTAATGAATGTGTGCAAGTATTTTCTAATACGGCAGTTTTATTTCTTTTTCTCTTTCTTTTTTTATATCGATGCCTACCGAAATATCTCAGCCATCAACTTATTTCGCCATTCCATTGTGAAGGCTATCATGCTGACTGTAAAAATTTATTTTTATTTTTAGAGAGAGAAAAGGAAGGAAGACGTAAATGTGGTTCGCGCCCTCGGCTGTCACTCAAACGTTGTCTTTTATTCACTTTTGCTTGAACCTTAATAAGCTATAGCATCTTTTTTACCTTTCCTACAGAGGCTCATTATTCAACATCTCTGCTTACTACTTTTTGACATCGATCTCCCCACACATATATATATATATATATATATATATATATATATATATATATATATATATATATTAGATAATAGTCTAAGTATCTGCTTTATCCTGGAATCATCAAAAAACGGCGATCTTTTAGCAGACTTTTCGCCTGCTGGTTAATACCTATATGAATGCCTCGGCACGTACTTAAAATTAGAATGGACCCGAAATTAGTGTTGGAGATCTTTACAAAAGATTAGATTCAGGTCATCAATAAATTGCATTTGCATAGAATATTATCCTTTTTTTAGGGGGTGGGGGGCATGTCAAATGTTGAACAGGTTTTGGCGTTTAAACGAATGCAAAGGAAAAGCTGCTTAGGATGGAGATTCGTTTAAGTTGTTTCACTTAGTGGGGTTTCTAGTTTTCTTCATATTCTTCTCTGTTCATATTCTTCTTCCTGTTCTTCTCTGTGATTTTCCCTTTTTTTTTTCTCCAGGAGAAGAGACTATTTCTTGGAGCTATTTCTAAAGTGCTAAGTGGTGGGACACTTGAATTACGGAAAGGGCTTTCGCCTGGTCCTACAGTGCTTAAATAGACCAGGAATGTATTAACGGCCTCATGGACAGACAGAGCAACTAATTGACGATTGGCGATAGAAAAATGGTTTTCCTTTTATAACTTTATTTCTTTTATGTTCTTACCTTTCTTTTTTTTTATTATTTTCCTATTCACTTTCTTTCTCTTTTTCTATTTCCATTTTTCTTACACCCTAATGCTCTGCCCTTTATTGTTTTTTTTCTTCGTTTTCTACGGCCCTTCTTTTGCTTTTACCTACTTTTTTCAATTTAAAACATTTTCTTCTTCTTCTTCTTCTATAATTCATAAAAAATGTTTTCTCTTTCTTTGGCGTTTCATTATTATTATTATTATTATTATTATTATTATTATTATACGTTTCTTCATTTATTTACCTTCTATAATCTTCTTTTTCTTCTTCCGTTTTTCTTTCTACGAAATTTATCCTTCATCTTCCTCTTCTTTTTTTTTTCTTCTTCTCATTTTGATCAACCACCCCTTCTCTTCCTGCTCCTTATTATCATCATCATATTATTATTTTCTATTACTACTACTAATATTTTTCATAATCTACTCACGTTCCAGTATCTTTTCTTCGTTCGTTTTTCTTCTTCATCGAGCCTTCTTCTTCTTGTCTTTAACCATCTTATTTTTATTCTTCTTTTATTCACCTCCCACCCTCTTCTTTTACACTCTATTCTCCTCGCGAGCTAGCTTCTCTTCTTTCTTCTTTTTTCTTTTTCTTACATTGCGCCGTCTCATTCTTCTTGTTGTCCATCATTATCATATTAACTTCTTCTTCTTCTTCTTCTTCTTCTCTTCTTCTTCTTCTTCTTCTTCTTCTATTTCAGAAAATATAGAGTATCTTTTATTCTTCTTCCTATTCAGCTCCTCGTCAACGATTTTTTTCACATATTTTTCTTACCTCAGATATTTTTCCTTTATTTTAACATATTTCCTTTCCTTTTTTTCTTCCCCTCTCCCGTTTCTCTCTCTCTCTTTTTCTTTCACTTTTGCCTAGTGTTATTGATCTTTCTTTTTGTCATCATTTTCATCTAGTCTCAATGTCTAAATGTCTTCTTTTTATTCTTTTCATTTCTTATTTCATTTCTACTTTCTGCAGTGCCACTTTTCTTTCTTTTATTCATTCTCTTCCTGTTCAACAACCGATATTTCAATATTTTTCCAACACTCCATTTGCACACTTCAGTCATTAAAATCACGTCTTCTTCCTTCTATCTTCTTTTTCCTCCTCTTATTTCTTTTTTCCCCATCCTTTTTGAAAGGTTTCACTGAAAAAAAAAGGAACACAAATTTCCTATTGGACTGCCAGTTGCTTCATTCGTAGCAGTGACATTAGCATTATTGAAGCGTCAACGACAGGATGCCAATATGTCCGAGTCAGTTACGGGGTTAAAGCATCAATAGCTTACAAGTTGTTATTTATTGGTATATTTATTTTTACTTACTCTTCTCAGTTACACTCCTTTGTCTGTTATTTTAAAAATCCACTTTTTAGTCGACAATTCTTACGGATCCTACGGATAACCAATATCATTTTTTTTCATGGATTGCTTCAAACTTTCTAATTTTATTTGTTCAATTTATTCTATTTTTTTTAAATCATTTAACCCCAAACAAGGTGAAATTCCAACTAGAACACAATGGGTTACTTGAAGTGAAAGAGAGTGAAAAGACTTCAATGAGAAGAAGTGAGGAGAAGGGACAATAAAAGAACAAGTTTCATAAAGACAGAATGTGGCGATTGACGTTGCATTTCAAGTTTTTAAGACTGTAGGTGTCTGGGAAGTAAGAAATCGGAATGGATTTCCACAGAAGAAATGTGAGAAAAAAGAAACTATTAGAATAGAACGTATGGTTCCATCAAGCTAGTTCAACAGAAAAATGGTGAGACCTAATTGCCAATCTAGTATCACGCTTAAATTCATTCAGTCGCGGCACCAAGAAGGAAAGCTCAGCAAAACAACTGCCATGAAAGTTCTGCAAAAAAGACAGAGGGAAGCCACGCCATGTCGGTGAGAAAGTGACAGAAGTCGAGATGCCAAGTCAGAATCGATTACATTACAGAACTTTCTTTGAATTTTGTTAAGAATCTTGAGATATATAATAGGGGCTCCAGACCAAATATGGTAACAATATTCAATGTATGGACTTTTATTTTCATTTTTTTTTTCTATTTCTTCCATTATTTATTTGGTTTTCTTTACTTCTTATACATTTTGAATAAATTCTGATTTTGGTTAATATTTTCATCCTTCTTTTCTTTCTGTATTTCTTTCTCGCTCTTCTCTTTTCTCCAATATTCTCTTTCATTTTTATTTATTAATGTAACCTCTCTCTAAATAGCCATGTCTTTCTTTTTTCCCATCGAATTTATTTTTATACCTTGCTTGATTTCTTCCTTCCTTCTTTCTTTCTTTCTTTCTTTCTTTCTTTCTTTCTTTCTTTCTTTCTTTCTTTCTTATTTCTTTCTTCCTTTTTTACTTCCTTGTTCAAATTATCTGGTGTATAGCTTTTTCTGTCCATTTCTATTTTCGGCCATTTTTAACAGAGATTCCTCCATTTCAAACGTTTTTCTTCTCTTTTATTAATGTAATTTATATCTCACTAGCTCCATCATTTTTCTTCTCTTAGAATTTATTCTCATTCATTAGTTGATTCTTTCTTTCGTTCTTTCTTTCTTTAAATTGTCTCAAGATCAATCCTCTATGTCCACTTCTCCTTTCGGTAATTTTGAACAGGGATTCTTCCATTTTCAACTTTCTCTTTCATTTCTTTTATTGATGTTATCTATTTCTTGTTAGCTTCGTCTTTCTTTCTTTCGTTTAAAATTTATTCTCATCTCTCTTTCTTACTTTATTTATTACTGAATTTATTATTATAATTTCCTTTCTTTCTTTACCTTGATAATTATTCTTATCCCTTCTTTCTTTCTCACTTTTGTTCTTTCTTTTATTTACAAATTGTGCTACTTATTGTCATTCGGCCATTTTTATTTATTAACGCAATCTATCTCGCGCAATCTTTCTTCTCTTAGAATTTTTCTCATCTCTTGCTGGCATCTTTCTTTATTTTTCTTTCTTTCTTTCCTTCTGTCTTCATTTCTGAATTAATTATTTTCTTTCTTTTAGAAATTATTCTTTTCTTTCTTTCTTTCTTTCTTTCTTTCTTTCTTTATTTATTTATTTATTTATTTATTTATTGCTTTCTTTCTTTAACATTTTACTGTCATGTATTTTTCGTTTCTTCTTTCTTTCTTTTATATACAAATCGTCCGACTAAAAGTTCTTTCTGTCCACTTCATCATTCGGTCATTTTGAATCGGGCTTGCTCTCTTTACAGATACAACATAATCAATACCCTGGTGAAACTGAAGTTCGGCAATCAATATTTTGGTACCAGTTGTCATGGATTCCCATTCAGCTAAAGCAGGCGGATGTTTTTAATGTTTGTATAATTTATTTTATTGTCATATATTTAATTATATAACAATGCGAACAAAAATAAAATATTTGCATTTCTAAACGTGCATACATGCCTATGGAATATGATTCTACTTAAACACATCTGTATCTTTGCAAGTATGAATATATATATATATATATATATATATATATATATATATATATATATATATATATATATATATATATATAATTAAGTTATGAAAAACTTGGTAATCGGTAAGGAGGATGAAATGTAGATCCAGATCAATGTAAATCCAGAGCTAATATTTTAAAGAAAAACAGACCACTTTAAGGTTCCATTATAATAATTTATTTCACCAGAGCCCTTTTAAATGACTCTGGATCATCAGATAACACTTCCAAACGATTAATCATTTAAAAAGTGCTCTGGTGAAATGAATTATCATAATGGAACCTTAAAGTGGTCTGTTTTTCTTTAATAAATAAATAAATAAATAAAATATATATATATGTGTGTGTGTGTGTGTGTGTGTGTGTGTGTACTTTTTATGTAAAATATATATATATATATATAAATATATATATATATTATGTAAATATATATTATGTAAATATATATATTATCTAAAATATATATATATATTATCTAAATATATATATATATATATATATATATATATATATATATATATATATATATACTTTTTATGTAAATCGCTATCAACTACATGTGTAGAAATGTATATACGCTTTGATTTTACTCGCAATTTGTGTCATTAATATCCAGTTTATAAATGGTTGTGTATCATAATTTATCTCATTTTATCATCATGGATTTTATATTGTTTAATAATCTGGTATGAATTATCAGTATCTTCATAAAAAAAAAATTGTCTATTCTGAGCGCTATCTTTACCTCCGCCATTTTAAATATCCGTTATTCTGACAATTATGGGTTTTAGCAACAGCAAATGTCTTCCTTACTCTCACAAGCGTTTTCCGATTTTTGGGGGCATTTTCTTTGTTTCGTACACATTCTTATATCTTCTTATTACTTTTGATTAATATTGACAAATATTGACTAATATTGCATGTATCTTATGAGAGAAATACTAATAAAAAATAAGGATGATTGAAAGTGCTTGAAATTCGAATAATATTACATTGTTTTATTTCTTTCTCTCTCACTATATTCTCTTTAATTATGAACCTTCGAAATTTGAATCTTAACGCAAATTATCGAGCAATGTTTTCGTTTTGTTAAACCAACTTTTGTTTTTAATTTGTAAGATAATTCACTTAAAACTGTCATTATCGAGAATTCTATATTGTTTGTTTATGTAAACATTTAAAGTGATACAGTTTCACAGAAAAAATGTTGATCCAGTTTCCCCCCGTTTGGTTGTTAATAACAACGCATTTAGAATGCCTAACAAGTGTGCATATCTTTGTGTTTCCACATTTCTTTGTGCACGCACGATTCTGTGTCACATTGTCGATTTCTTTATCATTCGTATAATAAGCTGCTAACGGTATATAGAGTTTAATGAGGCCATTTTTATCGTGCTTCTTTTTAACTTTCTCGGATAATTTTTAATAAATTTGACTTTCTTTTCCTCTGTCTATTTTCCTTCGAGTTAGCTTATTTGATTCGTAAACAATTGAGCTGTAAAGTCAATGACGTCGATGAATATTCTTGTATTTGTCGCTACTACGCTTTCGTTTTGCTAATAGTCTTCCATTTTTTTCTTTCGTTCTTTTTCTTTCCTTTTTTCTTTCTTTCTTTTTTTCTCGCTTTCTTTCTTGCTTTCTTTCAAGAATCCATTAGAAAAGAGGATCAGTGATAGATGCTAGCGTTATTTTATTATGAAAAACGACTTCATATTATCTGTTCATGCAGATAAAAGTTAGATAACTTCACACAATTTGCAATAGCGTTTCCCAAAAAATGAATGAGCGTACTTAAACGCTTAATTCTTATATACAGAATGAACAAGACCGGACAGACTTCTTTTCTTTTAATTGGCTAATACACAGCCCCAGGAGGAGGGACAAATGTGCGACAGGTACCATACGGTCTGTGGTGCTTTATTTAGTTTTTTCCAGTATTTTTGTACTGTCAGTCTACATAAAACATCTGGTATGAAAAAAAACTGAGTATAAATCTCACTTTATTTAGCAACGGAAATAATGTGTTAAAAATTTGTTTTTTTTTTTAAGATAGAAAGACGCTAACTTGAATACTATCCTGTTCCTTTCGCGTGCTATGAATAAACGCTACAACTATATAGGAATCACACAACTACATCTTAAACAGAGAGTCATGAAAAGAAATTAGCAACACCTAACAAAAATACCTTGAAAAGAAGCTTCGGAAAGTACTTGAGACAATAGATACTTTTACTTTTACACACACTTTCCTCCACTAATCGAAAAAAATTAAGAATATTAGAAACGCTAAATAAAAATTCATCAAATTTGTCTTGCCTCTCATATTCAACGAAACAATATATATATATATATATATATATATATATATATATATATATATATATATATATATATATATATA